ACATACATGTATCGCTTTTGAGCTTTTTGCCATGAACGCGACCCCGGTTAGGCGGGCTAAACCACTTTGACACGTTTACATGGCAAATTGTCACCCCTCAGGGCCTGTTTACATGGAGGTGGGGGACCCCAGGAAGGTGGGGTAACCAGCTTAGCCGTGGTCGAAAAATAAAACGCGTTTACATGCAATCTTGCAACCACGAGGTGCTGGGGTTAGGTTTCTTGAGGTTGTTGTTGTGCTTGCAATTAAGTAGTTTGAGCAGAGGCGTCCCAAGCTCACATCTCGAAAAAGACGAAAGGTTAATTCTCGGACACATACGTATTTATTCATGAAAGCGTCACGCGTTGTGTTACGCGAGGAACCGTTGACTTAATGAGTTATACGCAATAATTTGGGAAACCAAATATAGTTGGTTTACAACAGTAAATATTCCGAAATGTGAACATTTTACACTCCTTGTGTGTCCGTTGCGGTTTCTGGCGATTTCTGCCATGAGATGGCTAGGAAATGTACAAAATTTTAAAACATATATGTTCCGCTTTTGAGCTTTTTGCAATGAACGCGGCCCCGGCTAGGCGGGTTACCCCATCTTGACACGTTTACATGGCAAATTGTCACCACGGCTCACCGGGTTACCCTACCTGGCAGACCTGGCAGACCGGGCAACCCGGGCAACCCGCCAAGGCGGGTCACCCCACCTATTATGTAAACGTGATCAATACAAAATAAGAAATTAGATAAAATAAGAAATTAGGCGGGTTACCCCACCTAGGTGGGTTAAACAGGCCCTTAGGTTTATCAAAACTCGCAGGAAACGTATCAGTCTAAACAGCACGAGGCCAAAACCAACTTGTGATTGTCGGTTATTACAACAACACGCTCTTTTTCTTGTTGATTAAGTAGTGGTAACAGTAATTCATCTCGTCCAATTCGGTGTATTGGGAACGGTAGCGATTTGACGCCCAAACAAGAACCCAGTCCGCATGCTCCTAGTTTGACTGACCGACTCGATCTAAGATGGCGGAATGTCGGAGCCGACCATGATTCCACGGTATTCAGCTATCATTTCGCCTCCTTCTAACTTTGAATGTGTTTGTAAATCAACACCATAGTTTCATTTAGTATACAACAAGTGCATTGGATCTTTAAAAGTTCTGTTACCGATAAATTCAACGATCGAGCGAAACAGCTGACAGACCTGAATAGCAGACCCGGCAGACTGTCGATGTGATAGAAAAGACCGTGTTGTATACAATCGAGCCTAAGGCTGTTACAGAGCCAACCTCAGTGACATGTATGTAGCTTGCATTTGAATTTTGGGTAATAACAATTTAATGGATATATTTTAATTTAATACTTTTACTTCTCATTTTTACACAGTTGTTAACTCGTTATAGCTGGCATTTGTCATTTGCTAGTTTGAGTCCAATTTGTGATTGGAGCATTACCCCTTGCAGGGATGTCAGTAATTGTTCAAGAAGATAGGGAAATGGAAAAACTAGCTGGGGGTTTAAGAATCTGCTTGGGGAAGAAGTGGGAAGGGGTAGGAATGGAGATTAAGGGAACAAAAAACCTCGCTGTAGATAAGCACGACAAATCTTGAAAAGGTTTTGACAATCAATCATAAATTTATTCTGACGATACAGTTTAGGCTGAGATTGACAATGCTCTCATCCTGTTCATTGTGGAATTCCAGAACAATTACATCCACTCACACAAAAGAGCTTGCGTGACTTATGAGTGACTAATAATGGCGTGACCCACAAATGGTAAGTAACAGTTTGACTAATAAGAGAATACTGGAAACAAATCGAACAAGCCAAAAACAGTGCTGCAAACATTTTGGAAGCCTAAACTGTTTCTCTTTTTTTCTTCATCAATTTCTCAAAGCAAAGCTTATGAGAAATTAATGAAAAGCTTACAAGAAATTACTGAAAGAAAACTGTCTACACTGATGTGCATTAGGTAGTCTGGCAGGATTTTTGTAAGACAAAGCCTTGCACTAACTGAAACCAAATTCATTCAAGCTGTGCCAGCCAAGAAATTTTTGTTGACATGTGATTTATCAGAGAGAGAAAGACCAGTGGTTAACACTTGGTACCATTTGTGAAATTGAAGGATTTCACTGATCTCAGGCAGAAATTCTCAGCTTGCTTGCTGCATGCCTTTTGAAAAAAAATTAAGGCGAGATTTGTTTTCAATTTTGGTTTGATCTAAGAGATAGTATAGTGTCTCAGTATTTTATGATGTAATTGCATGTTAAAATTTTTTTAACAAACTTGTTTGAATAAAGATTTGATTAATTGTCTCCCAATAAAAGTCGTTTGGGTTGGACCAGAGTATTGTTAACTGATGTCAGTGAGATAAATGATTTATTCACACTTATCTTTCCATCTGTGTACCTGACTTGTTAGTAACACAAAATGTAATAAAAAGCAGCAACCATATGCAGAAGAGTTGTCTCTTAATTTGGATTGGGGCCACAAATTTAGTTATTCTGCCATAATCAACTAGCATGAGGTGATATTAATACTCAAACAGTCATTTCCCAAACTGGCAATTTTTTTCGATGTTTGTGAAGTGGAAAATGGTAGCATAATGCAGTTAGTCTGATAATCAGTGGACCAATAACAGTATATTAAAGAATAATCATCCTCAGGCTGTGACAATGTTGTCATATAATACCCATTTATAAGAAGAATATTCCCTTCACTTTTTGCCAATAATTGTTAAATATTTGGTTTGTTGCCTTACAATTGTATGGTATTTTTGTCCCTGTTTGCCTATGAAAATACCCATATTGGGTATTTATTCTCAGGTAGGCTGTAGAGAAATAGGATAAAAGTTAGGGGTGGGGCTTAAATATGGGCCAATGACCAACTGTTCTCACAGCTCATTTTTTTCACATCAGGTTGCAAACAATTGAAATTACTTAAAATAGTGTTGGATTTGCATATAAACTTATAGTATTTTTTGTACAGTGATGCCAAGAAAAATCTCTAAAAAAAAAATTTTTACATGTTAAAAGTCAGAAACAATTGAAAGAAGTAAGGTAAATCTGGAGGTGTTTTTAGTCTCACTTAGTGAGATTGCTCCAAAAGTTTCCAAACAGTCATGGAATCACTTAGTGCCATTACCCATTTCTTGTTACCCAGTTACTCGTTACTTTGTATGGTAAACTGTGGCCTCTTGTTCATTTTACTCCAAGCCAGTGTTATTAAACTATTACAATTTTTCTTTGTTAATAGGTTTCATTGCGACAGCTATGCTATTTCTGATTGCAATTCACTGATTATTATTTCCACCAGAAATAATTAAAATCTTGGGATGCAGTCTATACAGAGATGTGGCTTATTAATGGGTAAATACAGTAAATCTCTGATGAGCCTTCTTCATGGCTGGCTTAACTGTAGATCTTTTACTTTCAGAAAAACTTTGAGCAAAACTGGCCAGCCTTAATTTGAGCACTAGCAGTAGGTTTTCTGTTAAAAGGTGAATCAACATTGAAAAAGTAGATCTGATTGCTATGAATGGATGGATGCAATATGGATACACCATCTCTTACATCCATGAAGCAGGATGCTGGAAGTTTCGTCCATGTGAGAATTAACTGCCCGTGCAGAGGTGTTCATAGACTCAAAGGACAAACTCTCAACTAAAGGACACTTGTATACTGTTCTTCAAATAACTTAACACTTAATAGACATACCAAAACACTCACTAATAAGCACAAAATGCCATTCAACAGCACATGTCAATTAGGTTGTAGAGTAATTGATCTATTTAACTTTTTTTGCTGTGTAGACCAAGAATGACACTGAGCAACTCAGCAGGGACATTTCATCAAAATTAAAGATCCACATCAACAGTGGACAGAAACCAGGCTTTGAATGTCAAATTTACAATCACTTGGCAAATCAAGAGGAACACAAAGATCATGTAATTGAAGAGGTTTGTTCGTTTTAATGAATATGTTTGTTAATTTTTTATTTGTAACACACTTGGCTTTTATAATAATGGCTGGTTAGTTATAGTCCCTGTTGGCAGTTTCTTGCCACTACTGCCTGTAGTCTCCTATAAGTTGAATGTAAATAACACAAATGTGAAGCAAAATCTAGTTGTGGGGATCTGAAGTAGGTTTCAACCTCTAATGCTTTGTTTTCAGCAAACCTACTATTGGTGACAAAATTGTTGACACGTCGACCTTTTAACCCCCTATTCCTTCAACTTTATCTTTCTTTTGCCTTTTTTAGTTAATCTGTTCACCCACTACTTCTCAAAACAATGTTGTATAGGGTTTCCATGAACCTTTAGCTACAGACAGGCAACATTTAATGAGAGGGGGGGGGGGGGTCTTGTCAATGATTTGGAGTGTGGTAGAGACAGGAGTGTTATTCTACACTTGTATTGGACTCTTCAAATATGTTTCAACTCATTTTGGTGCTGATTGTAACATGGATTTGCATTAACTCTCTCTTGTATTGAACATTTATCTTTGTGGTATTCTCCAGCCCATCAACAAAAGGCTTATCAACAGAATGCAAGAGATGAAAAGACACTGTATTAAGCAGTTTGTCAAAAGGGATATATTTGCAGGCCAAACTCCACCACCACTACCAACAAATAGGTACTTCTAGCCAACAAACCCACATATCCCAGGCATCTATGGAGATGTGGTCCAAAGTTGACCAGGAAAACCTAAAAACGATAATACAGCTTCAGTGTTAGGAGCATCCTCAAGTTTTATTTCAGACCATGTGCTCTATCATTGTCAACAAGAAGTTCTATTGTTCAAAGAACATAGAAGGAACACAGAAGGAACACAAAAGGAACACAAAAGGAACACAAAAGCTGAAACTGTGTTGTTTACACACCAAACAAACTGGCAGAATTAGCTTTCAATCAATTTGGAAATGAGATTAAACTTCTGGATGCCATTTACAAGACCATGAGATGTGACTTGCTGCTATTCTTTCCAGTTGCTAAAACCAACATAAACTGTATAGGGTTGGGCTCTTTCATCATTCAAAGTGAAACAACAGCTGCAATATGTACAAGAACTGTTAACAATCTTCCATGATTAGGATGATTCTTGGAAACCCTGATATTTTTTGACAGACTTCTGCCAAGAGAAAATAAATGCAAGAAAGCAAACATTCACAGGTAGGGAATAAATAATAAAAATTGAAAATGCAATTTCTTGTGAAAACAAGATTAATTTCAGAAAAGTGTGGCTTCCCTACAAGCTAATAGCCTCTGATGGCAAATCCAAAGCTTATGAACTGGTTTGATAAATTATGGTTGGTAGAAGTATAGGTAATGATTATTTCACTCTGTTTATAGTAACATGGTCTGACATAACTGGTTTATTGAGGAACTTAAGAATGAAATGCATCATCTAAGAATAGGGGAAAGGAGAGAGAGAAAAATAGAGAAAAGTCTGCATATATTTCTTGAACAGAAAACTATAAACTATTTTCTTTTTTAATTTTTTATTTAAGGTTAAAGGAATTGCTTTAAAATATCAATACCTCAAAGATCACGATAACAACAGACTTAATGGAATGATAACAGTACTGGCCCAGGAGGTCTTGCACAACAAATACTAAAGGTAGGTGCCAAAGTAGCCAACAATGATGACAATTATGTGAAATGTATGTTATGTGAAAAAAAAAGTAGCTGATTGAAAGGAGTTGTAGCACTAGTGAATCATGATAAGATTGCCACTGGTGTAAAAGATCTCTGCAGAAGCATCTCCTTATGATTCTTGTTTGTAGTGAGTTGCTATAACAAATTATGATCAAGTTGCCAATGGTTCAACTCGCCAATGCCAACTTGCCAACGTATAAAATTGAGTAGAGACGTCAGTGAGTTGGTCTCTAATCCAGCACAACTTATTAGACGTTAACCATAGAAAAAGTAAAAGATCTTTAGCAAAACAAAAAAAAAATTTATCTTCCAACAAAGTTTAAAAGGATCTCATGGCAAATAAAGCAGGGTAAACATAGCTAATGACCAACAAAGTTTTAGACATGAATGACTTATTGTTTGACATCAACACTGTTAAGACTCATCATGTTTATTGGTCAGATTTTTTTAAAAAAATGGCTTTCTAGACAAGTTCTCCAGTAAAAAACAAGTCTTTTTATTTCCAGCAAAGTTTACAAGGATCTCAAGGCAAATAAAGCAAAGTGAACATCACCAATGACCAAAAAAGCTTTAGGTGCCAACAAGTTATTGTGTGACAACAACACTGTAAAGACTCATTGTGTCAATTGGTCTGATGTTAAAAAAAAATTGGCTTTCTAGACAAGATCTTTAGTAAAAAACAATTCTTTTTGTTTCCAACAAAGTTTACAAGGATCTAAAGGCACATAAAGCAAGGTCAACATCACCAATGACCAAAAAAGGTTTAAACGCGAACAAGTTATTGTGTAACAACCATAGCAACCATGCAGAACCACATGTTTTTTTAACTTTAAAGAATAATTTATTCATGATTGAGAACGTTTGATTTACAGTAAAATTTGATATATTATAAAGATCAAGTGAACATGTGAAAGCTATGTATATCATGCAATTATTCTGCTCTTGAAGGTCTGTTTAATCTCAACTGAACTTGTCATAATGTTACATCTTACATTGTAAAATTAAGAAAATATCTTATGTAAGGAAAATAAATTTCAAATAAAACTTTTTATTACAAAAGTGTTTAGAAAGTGTTTGCCATTCACTGGCATAGCCTGATACTAAGATGGACCAAATGTAAACACCTTCAAAAGTGAGCTAATGAAGTGTGAATCTGGAATGATACTGGTTGTGACACAATAACTTGGTTGTGTCTAAAGCTTTGTTGGTCATTGGTGATGTTTACCTTGCTTTATTCACCTTGAGATCTTTACAAACTTTGTTGGAAATTGACAGAATTGTTTTTTACTTAAGATCTTGTCTAGAAAGCTAAGTTTTCTTCAAAAAATCTGACTGATTGACATGATGAGTCTTTACAGTGTTGTTGTCACGCAATAACTTGTTTGTGTCTGAAGCTTTAATAGTCATTGGCAATGTTTACGTTACCATATTTTACTTGCTTGTTCAGACGCTTGACCTTTTGAACCTAAAGTGGTGCCAAGGAAAAATGTTACCCATGAATGAAAAGTCAACAGCCACTGGTGATGTGATTATCAACATAGCTCTAACTAAACACACTCATCACAAAATAAGGATCCATGAAGGTTTCCACTTTATTCTGCTCTTCCCTGACCAGATGGGGTAATGAATTTACCTGGCACAGCAGAGGCCTTGAAAAATGCAGAGAAGACAGTGGAAAATTGTACAACCATTTCAATCCTTTTATTGCCAGTAAAGTGACTTTTTGTTCTCTGAGTTGCCAATTTTTTATGAAAGTGACAATGAGAGGGAAGATCAGCCTGGTTGAAGTGATGACAAAACAGAGAAAAACAATGAGGAAATGTCCACAACAGACCCTGTAAGTAAAGATCCAGTATTACATACAGTTGAGAGCAACCCTAGCAATGATGATGTGGAATGTCTCACATGTAGCTTTCTCTCTTTTCCTGTAATTACAAAAGCAGAACATGCAGGTGCAATGCAATGTCTCAAATGATGGAAAGGAACAAGATTCAAATTGAGTGGATGAAGGGAGAGAAGTTTGCATAATAGATCCAGCCCTACAGGGTACTCAGTGTGAAACCAAGGAAAGTATCAAGGATATCTTCCATGGGTTGCTTAACAACACGAGTCTCAGAAAACTAGTCTGAATGAACATCAGGGAGAGGCTAATATGGAAAGATGTTAAACAGGCTCAACAAAATCAGCTATGAAGTGCAGATGACTATGTTAAAATTATATTCATTGGAAAACTGACAATAAGCAATGGGGAGTAAGGAGAGATTGCCTCACGGGTATACCTTTTGGTACCCTTAATTAAGTAATTATGAGACTTTTGAGGAGATTTTGCAAAAAAGATCTCCATGGAGTGAAAGATTTTCTCTATACAGAACCTTACTGGTACTGGATGTGCCAAGATGCAGTATTTAGGGATAATTCCTGTAAAAAACACATGTAGGATGTCAGATGGCTGAAGTTTTAGGGAGAATTTGTAAAAAAGATCTTGGAATGAAAAATTTTCTATATACCTCAACATTACTGTTTGTGTATGCAATGGTCTCTTTACAGTGCCAAGGGATAATTCTTAGACAAAACACATGTAGGCTAATTTGTGGATGAACAGCATTTCATGAATGTGTCAATGGGATTTTTCCAAAATCAGACTTGGCAATTAATCAAGCCATAGGGTTGTGAAGAGGTTAAATGTTTCCTTGGCAGAACACTTTTTAATCAGTTTGATTTTTATCTTTTTATGATATAAACCTTAACCTTATACCAGTAAATCTTTTCACACCACAGCTTGATGAGCTCCATGGACAATGTGACGACAATATCCCAGAGTGTTTTGTGTTTCCTTTACAGAAATTCTGGATCATGTTGAAAGAGCTTTTTTCTCTATGGGTAGACCAACTGATTATCTGGTGATATTTAATCAAAAGGATTGCTGCTTGGCTGCTGAGCTGAAGGTTGTGTCAATTCTGCAGAGTGGACCTTCACCATCATTTTTTCACCCAGCTGTTTTTCAATATTTAAGTCAAGGAAAAGCTATCATCAGTTAATCACGAGAGCACTCTAAAAGGAGCAGCATTGAAGGTAAATAAATAAACAAGTGATTTTGCCACTGTTTTTAAGGGGGGGGGGGACCAAATATTAATCGTGTTCATTTGATAAATTCTTTGGACAGTTTCCACAATGAAATGCATGAAAAAGTCATTTTTCATGGTTTATTATGATAGATTGGGGTTATTTGAGTAATAAGACAAATTTCGTTTCTGGCTAGATACTACTCATTAAGAAGGTTACTGATACAGAGTTTTTGATGTTTTTGTGTGGTCAGGGAGCCATGAATTTCAGGTAAATCCTGTGAAATTCACAAAAACATGCAAAATGCCACAAACTACGTTAGAAATCTTGCCCAATACATGTCACCACAACATATTTGAAACTTATAACACTGTAAAGACTTGTGTATAAGCAGCACCTTTTTGCTTAAGTTTTGGGCCTACAATTGTAGGTGTGGCATATACACAAGACCATTGCTTTCACAGTGAGTAAACTGGCTTTTATGGGTCATAAATTGAACTGAGAACCTTCAGTGAATAAAGTTTAAATATATAGTCGTCTCAAGAAAATGATATAGTTTTTTCTTATTTTTTTTAAAAATAATATAGTTTTAGCTTTTTTCAATGACAATGATAATGAATTTATCATATATTAGTGTAAAATACAGTCTTGATTAGTCCAGTATTTGTCTCTAGTGTCCAGACTTCCCTTGTTACGACAGGCGTTACAGTTAGTTCATGATAAGATTTTGGTAGCTTACGTAAAACAATCATATTTAATCCACAAATCAATCAACTCAGCTCAAACTTAGTAAGAAGTACATCCAGGCAATTGCCTACCACCTGACATGTTTATAGTTAATATATTGGTTATTTTAGATTAATAATTAACGCGTTACTGTGAAGGACTATTTTGAGGGTTAAGTTGAGGCTCATCACTTTTTTCTTATTTCCTTTTAAAATAATCACCTGATTTTTGATACAACGAAGCATTATCCAATGGATTGCAACCTTATTGAGAGTTACTGCCTTTTGACCATTTTGGTTGTCATGGTAATAATTAGATTTTGCTAAAGACAAATTACTTATAAAAACAGTCATATTTCAGATTTCAGATTTTTCTCAATCAGGTTGCAGATAATTACATAAACAATCTTTGTACCAAACTTGTTGTCAATAGCTGAAACACTCTTCAAGAAATATGAGGAGCCAACAAAATTACCCTGAAAAGAGCTATTTTCAGAAAAATGTAATTTAAACTTCCTTTTTATCTAACTCACTTGTAAGACTAATGACTTCCTAAAATGGCCTTTTATGCATCACAGCACATCTACTTGAAGGTATGCTTAGGTTCTTTGGTTCTTTCTCTTTTTACCCACTCTGAACAGCTGTTTTGACAAAACCTCCAGCCTTGTAGGTTATGGCTTCCTGGGTTACACACAAGTCTTCTTCTCTCTGCTTAGCTTGTC